CACCACATAAGTAAAGCCTCCTGCAAATACTGCTGGCAAATTATCATTTACAAGTTGGCTACTTCAGATTTCTAAATTCCAGCAGCCAACCACCACATCTGTCTTCATGGGTTACATAGAACAATTTTCACTTTACCCTATTAATGTTTCAGTTAAGGTCACAAAGGATGCAATTTCCCTCTACCTTCTTCATCAATTTTTCCAGAAAGGAGGGGAAGAGAAATTTAAAGCATAAAATAGCTATTTGGCGACCAGAAATGTGAGGACTTTGCTAGAGCTGACTGTGATCTGAACTCATTCTTTACATTTCCTGCCACAGGTAGCTGCCATGGCTGCACAAATATTTCCCAGGGTAGAAGGCATTCCTTGGTTTCTCATTCAATGGCTCTGCTTGCCCTCTGTGAAATGACCCGAGTCTTTCTTAAAAAAAAATTAAAGAAAAAAAAATCAATGTTTCAGTGTTTTCAATACACGCTGTTAAGGCAGACCCCACAACAGATCCAGAAGGGCACACCACAAGTCAAATTTTTCATACATTTTAATTACAGTTTACACAAAGTGAAAGGCAGGTTAATAAGCTCAGTTCATAAAAAAAAAATAATAAGAAATGGCATTCTTGTATGGGAGAACATGGGACTTAGCCTTCAGAGGGCTGATCAGAAAATATATATTACCTCCAAGAGTCACCTATAGTCCTCAGCTGAGAAAGAGGAGGGAACAAAAGGGGCAGGGAATGGAAAAAGGAACAAGGGACCTTATTTAGTAAAATCCTTTTCAAGAGAAGTGTTTCTCATTAAACTGGTCCCTCTATACCAGAGCAACAGATTCAAAAGGTTTTCTCCCATGTGAGGTTTCTCAAGACCATTGAACACACGCAAATCTGCCAACAGAGGAAGCAGAAGAAAAGCATTTCAAGCAGTAAAGCTCCAAGAGCAGACAATAGGTGTCACCTCCAGATAGCAAGGAAGCACTTCCCCGAGAGACTGATGGCCACCCATATTTAATGTGGGTAACTGAGAACATGTTGCATTCTGGCCAGTGTGAGACCCACCACTACAGCTGCTCACTCAGAGCACTGGGTGGCCCTGAATGCTTTTAAATGGAAAACACAAACGCAGAGATCTGGGTGGTGTTCTGTGTGCAGTGGCCTGAGAAGGAGGGGGAGGAGAGCCTGTCCCCTGCCAAGCCCTGAGTCACAGCCCCGTGCCAGGGAATCCCATGCAGAGCCCTGTGCGCTGAGAATCCACCCCAAACCTCCTGGATACATCACCAAATTACCCAGTGGTGACACATCCCTTCTTATGTCATGTTTTGGGTATCACAAGTGTGACATTACTGTTCTGGGTAAGCAGAGAGCGTGAGAAAGGTGCTGTGAGTCCGGCTTACTGTACGTCCTCTTCCTCACCCCATCCTCACGGCTCCATGGCCAGGGTTACTCATCACAGGTCCCCACCTGTCCCTTGGAAGTTGCTGTGACTGCAGTTCTTCATACTGAATTTACTTCTGAATGTGCAGTGGGGAGTATTAACACATGATCTGGTCTATGATTAAAAAGGGATTGCTTTTTTTCCCACCAAACAGGGTGAAAGGGAAATTATAAAGTTGCATCCAGAAGGATATCATTTCCAAGTTAGACACCTTCAGTTTTAAAAAAAAACCCTGTGAGGTTCTAATTTATTAATGAATAGCTGCTGTCTTTGTAATTTTGTCATACTTATTCCATTACTGTCTGACACTTCCTATTGTCACTGCTTGAATTTTTAAACACTTCCACATGACTAGTGCTAATCTCCATGTTTCATGGAGGGCTGCTAATAAAAGGATAGAGATGCATGAATGTATAAGAACGATTATAGTTAACGTGCTCTAAAGCCTGCTCTTAACATCTCTCCATTTCTAGCATTTCTCCCTTCCCCCTATCTCCCGGCATCCGAAAGGAAAAGAAAAATGAAGGAAAGATATCTTTCCTCTTTATTTTGGGCTTGAATGGGATTTATTCCTGACCAAGAGAGAAAGAGCAAAAGGCTCCCAAATCAGGGTGCAAAGATGCAGGACTTCTGTGTGAAATAAACCTTGGCAAGCAAACAGCAAGCTTGGTATCTTGATTTTTCTTTCAGAAAATCTTGTAGAACTGGTACAACCAGCTATTGTGAACAGCTGCTTTGAGGATACAGCTTCGCAATAAACAACCTCTGATTTAAACACAGGACTACACTCACCTAGACAGTCTTTTATTTGTTTATTCCCAAGGATTTCAACACCTCTTTTGCCCTGAGTCTCTGTGCCACAGATTTCCAGCAGGTAAGTACATAGACCTTTTGCATTTGAAAGCACAGCTAAAGCACCTTTTTTGACTCATATTTTCTTAAAATCCTCCTATCCACACCTTTTAAGAACCCTCAAAGAACAATACTGATTCTCCACTTCCCTCCCAGCCTGCTCTATTAGGTCTGTTTCCCATACACAGGTTAGGTCTTAGGTGCTTATTACTGGCCCATGTAATTCCACACACACTACCTTAAATGCATAAATATGAGCAGGAAATTTTCTTAAAATTCTACGAAATTTACCCCTTTACTGTAAAGATCACCATGACAAACAGGGACAAATGACCCTGAGTGCTGCTTAAATACATGTATTGTGTGCAATCAACATTGGTTTTTACTGCCTCATGCCAATAGCACCTTCTCCTTGTTCTGTGAGCACTGTGCTCACATGGGAAGCCCTTGATCTGTTTAACAATTTGCAAGTATCTCTTGCACTTGGTGTGTCGGGTGAAGAAATATTCTCTACTTTACTGTGGTCCCCTATGTTCAGGTAAATGGAGCTCAGCTTATTTTGCATTTCTGTCTTCTCAAATAGAGAGGACCTGCATTTCAGTAGCTGTGCTTTAAACCAAATGAAAAGAGGCAGAAGCAAGCATCACTCCCAATCAGGAGGTGTCAAGGGCACACCAAGAGAGCTCACTGATGCAGAGAGTAGGTTTTGATTAGATATTAGGAAGAACTCATTTATGCAGAGAGTGGTGAGGCACTAGCACAGGTTGCCCAGAGAAGCTGTGGATGCCCCATCCATGGAAGTGTTCAAGGACACAACCTGGTCTAGTGAAACGTGCCCCTGATCACGACAGGAGAGTCTAGATGATCTTTAAGGGGCCTTCCAAACCAAGCCAGTTTGTGATTCTGTATCTGAAAGTCTTACATGGCACACCTGCCTCAAAGGGAGGCTAATACAACTGCTAAGAGACATTGCTTAGTTGTTTGGATATTAATCTAAGAGCAACCCTCAGCGGGTAACATTTCATAAGAAATAAGGAGCTTTGGTTTTCTATGACTTCCACAAGTCCCCCCCCACCCCAAATCCCAACTCACGGTCAACCCACTTTACTTCCAGAAAAAATGGTATTTCTAAATGCTACTCCTACAACTAACAGTGCTGCACATAAGCCAGAGCTGTCCAATTTTAATGCAACTGGCACATACACTGGCAATTTAACAGCCGCCCTAAAGCTATGTCTAGCTTGCATATGCACACCTATTTACATGAATTGTTACCAAAAGAAATTCAAACCATCGTGAGAGCTGATTGTTCTCGTGATTTCTCTTCAACATTAATGAAAAGCCTGCAAGCAAAAAAATGTTCTTCTCACCTTGAAATGACAGGGAAACTGAACATGCAGGCCAGGCTTTGAGGGTTATCCACAGCTTTAAAAGTTCAACCTGGACCTCCCAAAACAACTCAAAGGCCCTCAGATCTCATCAACTGAGCTCTTTCAAATACAGGACAAAGTCTAAAATGTACTACTCTTCTCACTACAAAGAAAGAAATATTGCCAATCCTCCAGGCAATGCTTTGAAAATTTATTCCTTTGTGCCTTTATATTTCAATAATGACATTTGTCAAAAACTTACAATGATTGTATTTAAGACCTTTCAATTAGCTGTAGGTAACAAGATCACACTACCAGTGGTATTTTTATTCATCCTTAGAAATCCCTAGGTAAGCTGTCAGAAAGGACAAAAAACTCTGAAGATCGTGAGGCAACATGATCTACTTGCCCAGGGATAAAACAAGAGATCTTCTGATCATGAATCCAGTGCAGGCCGAGTTTACAATGTGAATCAATTTTCTGAATGCAGGGATTGAGCCTAAAATGGTTTGCACTGCTGTGGTCCCCTAGTATAAAACATCGACTGCTTACTTTCTAAACCCCTCTCTTTCATTCCTCTACTCCAGGAAATAGTTACAGACTATTTTTTCCAAAGATATCTAATTGCCTACTGCAGTCTCAGATCAAACAGGTATTTGCATGCTTTAATTTACGTCTACAAAGTTACTTCTGGGCACAAAATAAGAGCTAGACCAAAGCTAGCTAGCCTAACCAGTTTTTGACAGCCAAATATACACCAACAGCCTTATTGCCTATTTTGCATTTGGAATTTAGTGTTGATTCACAAATTTAAAAAAAAAATCACAAAACTGTGCAGTCACAGAGCGGTGTAGTAAAACATAATTTGATAAATATCTGCCCATTCAATTCATGCTCAGTATTCAAATGCCAGGCTGATTTTTCTCTCTACCATGATAAGGGCACATGCACAAAGCAGAGGAGCTCACGAATTCACAGCCCAGCAGGTGCTCTTGGGAATTTCCCTGATGGGCATTTCTGGCACATGGGAGCCACCTTGCACTACTTCGGATTAACCATAGGTCAAAAACATGCACTGAGGCAGTAACCAACACTGAATTTACAATGAATTCACGCCACACTAATTTGTTTTTATAGCCACAGCCACAGTTATGGGCACTAGCGCTGAGCTGGCTCCTCTCTTCCTCCTGTTATTTTAACATTCACATCCTTCCACCTGTTCTCATCTGCCCTGTGGGGTGAAAACACATTACACAGTTGTAGATAAATTTTGTCACATTTGCCTTTTTATATTTTGACAGTGCAACAAAATGGAATTATCCCACATAAGAAATACCACCACTGCACTTACCACACAGAGATCTGCCAGCCTCCTTTTCCCCCCTGCAAGGCTGTGATGAGCAGCAGTAAGAGCACACCACCCTCACTTGATGAGGTTACTCCCTAAAGTTTAAGCCAAAAATAAATACACAATTAGGATTGCTATACAAAGTCTGTGAAGTTTATATACATTTCAGCAAGTTTGTGGATCTGTAATCCTTAAGTTGTTTTAAGCTTGTAACATTTTCCTGAACTCAAAGATTAATATCTGTTCTAAGTTTCTTCACTAAATTCCACTTTTTGGGTTATCAAAGTTCATAAGATTGCCTATCAATCCATCTATAAGCTACTGAAATATTCCTCTGGTCCCAAATGACAGGCAGCCTGTGGTATATTTTACCAGAACTTTTCAAGCTAATTTTTTACCTTTTTTTTATTCCTTCACTTTCCATACTCCCTGGTTACTTTATAGTTTGTCTTCAGTTTCTAGTCTTCTCATTTTTCCTCACAGGGTATTTTTGTTCTTTTTTTTCAGAAACCTATGCTCTGCTCCTATCTATCAAATCTATATTAATGTCTCCCTTACAGAGCTGAGCTGAGCAGTCAAGATGAAGTTACGATCTAGAGCTAACATTGTCCAAATGGATTTCAGGTAAAGAAAACTTTTTTTATCACTAACAGCAACATTATACAGAATGCACACACTATTAAAGAACTTTTTAATAGAGAAAAAATGGGTTCCTTCTGTGTTGAAGTTATTCTTACACTAGACTTTGCTCTTAAATATTGATATTGATATGTTAAACAGAATTTCACAAAATACTAGCTATGCTTAATCATGTGAGTCTTTTTTATTTTTAAACTGTCTAATAGTTAATATTTTTCCTCTTTACTTCATTTATTAGAAAAGATAAGGTGTTACCATCACTCAATACCAGTTTGCACTTGTATGGTATTTAAGATACAAGTTTATATTTTGATTTTCTGACATGCTGCCAGGGATATTTCTTCCCTGGGCTGTTGAAGTAAGATGCTATATCTCCAAAGAGTGCAATGTGAATTACCATCAGTTATATAAGTGCTTAATGATCTTGACAAACCAAGGGGTTTGAGAAAGCACAGATCTAAATCTACAAAACTAGAAGTCTGTCAAAAGGTGGCCTGCTGCATGAACAGCAAATTAAAGTGATCAATACCAGTGTCTGGATTCCCAGCATCCAAACATTCTGTATCCTTTGCATCAGCAATAAACAGAAATTAGAAAGTCACAGAATTGTTAGGGTTGAAAGGGATCTCTGGAGATCATCTTGTCCAATCCCCCAAATGTTGACTTCATCTGTAAATTTGGATACAAATATGGAATAGTATGGATGTTGGCAGAGAAGCTTTTTAGAGTTTGTTTGAAAGTTTTAAACTCTCTTAATAATTTGGGTGAAATGTCAGGGAGAATAATGATTACAAAAGAAGACTGTTCTCTTGCAGATGCCAACTGTATTTCTTTGAGTTACAGAGAACCATCTGGTCATCTGGGTCTGCCATTGTCATTATGTGCTGTGATATTATTAGATTGCTTAGCTTGATGCATAAGAGGGATGCAGATTTAAGGTAAATCATAACATGCCCCATATACACACATTTTTGACGTCCAACTATGTTTGAATGTTTGGGGCTTGAAAGTTAAAGATTAATTTCACATTGAGTGAAACCAAGGCAAAACATTTTAAGTCCAACAATTTCTGAAACAACAAAGGTAGATTTAGAAGTGATCTTCAAATTTTTTATTTTTACCAAAAATAACCAAGTCCCCCCAAAAAAACCCAAACCAAACCAAAACAAACCCTCAATAGAACTTTGCTCAAACACGTTTATCTACTTCCACTGAAATTCCTCTCTGTCTCTCTTACACACACAAAGCTCTCACAATCCCCTCTCCTCAAAACAAAACACAATTTCGACATCAGCTACTAGTGTTTTGCTCCTGGATGTAAGAAATCAGTTTTTTACAGCAAGAAGAATCATTCCCTGGCATAGCCTCTCCAGGGACATGACAGAGTCCACATTGCTGGAGGTTTTCAAGATGAAAGTGGACAGGGTGCTAGATAATCTGACCTACCTTTGCCACAAAAGAAATAACACCTACATCTAATATCTAAAGTAACCAGTGAGAGCATCTTTCCCCTAATTAGTGTTTTAGAAATCACAGAGGAGCAGTATATAAGACTTGAAAACTTACTTCAAAAGAACTTTTTTTACCGAGGCACAAGGGGGTTTTTTTCCACAATATTTACCACAGGGCAACAGGCAAAAGAGAATTATGCATTTGAAGAATAACGTGTTTTTAAGCTGCAAGAAGTAAATCACCTAGAATGTGTACACCTCCAAGGAAAATTCTAGTATACAAAATAGTCACTGCAGATTACTGATGCTGTGCAATTTCCAACTGTTCCTCTTCCAAAGGCAAGTGATAAAAATATAGTTCAAGATGCTGGCAGGCAGTGATTTGAAGCTAATTTTGTACTTTCATCTCCTTTTCCTCTACTCACCTTCTTTTCACCCAAAGTCAAATTTTCCTGTGAAACAATTGGTGCTTGCTCAGGAAATATTGTAAAAAGCTTTTAAATGGCCATGTCATGACCATGAGCTAACTCCTAAGGAGAAAGAACAGAAAGCATCTCACAATTCCAACTAAGGCTAGCATACTTCTAAACCAATGTCAAGGTTATGACATATGTCAAAAACCATACCTAGAGTTCTTTTGATATTGAAAAAATAGTTTGTGACAAACGAGCTGGAAACAACAGTCATTTTATTTTTCTCATGTTACTATTTGTCTACGTCATTGTGTGATTTTGATATATAAGAAGTATAGTAAGTTTAATGAGGAGTTCTGTGTCTGGCAAACAAGACATTAATTATTTTTTAGAAATAATTTATTCCAGGATGTCAACTTCAGTTCAGTGATTCCTCCTTCTGCCCCTTTTACTCTGCCCTGCTTGAGGAAAGATGAACATGTGTGGAAAAGAAGGGAAAAAGATTGTCTTTGAACAACATTGATTGTTTTTGGGGACAAAACTGTCAAAGATATATAAATATGAAATAAAGAAGAAACAAAGACAATAGAATTTTTTAATTATCACTGGAAATAATGAGCAGAGGGAAACATTAAGAGGTCAGCAGCTAAAAACCACTGCCACGCTAATTAAAAGAGTCATGGTTACCAGGGTCAACAACAGCTCCCCTAACTTTTCTTCTTTAAGTGTATTTATCATATTCACTGAAAACTCCTTTCTTTTTAGTAACTTGGAAACTTAAGCGTCCCTATTGGCACAAAGCACCTCTGAGCACTGCAGGATGCTTTGGGAATCCTGTATGTTGAGCACAGAGTTGTCAGACTCACTACACACATTTTTACCTTCTCAAGGGTTTCAATGTTAAACTGTTTTAAATGCTAGAGCTCCATATCTTTCTTTTAACATTCATTGCATATTTCTAGTACTTGAAAGTCCCTAAAAACTTGTTCTCTCAAGGATTGTCATCCCATTTCAGGACCAAAAGGGCACATACTTCCATCCATACGGTCACCCTTGAAATCAATGAGCAATGCAAAGCTTTCTCCCAGTAGAGATTAAACAAACCACAAAGTTTGTTCAGACCAAGCCTGGGAACAGAAACCAGGTCTTTTGCATGACTGCACGATGCATTACTGAAAGGTTACTGCACTGACCTTTGGTCTTGGTCACAAAACATTACTGATAAATCATTTTGATTAATATATTTTTTTGGGGTTTTGCTTTAAGGCTTGGCCTGCTGTTTATTTAAATGATTCTCAGGTATTCCTGCCCTTGTATTCACCAGTGCCTATTTGAACTGTCTGGTGAGGAAGAGTTGTCACATAAATCTCAGAGGAGGTGCAATCTTCAGAATTATCTTAGGCTGAAAATTGAATTGAATAAACAAGAAGCACTACTTCTTGTTTATTGGATGATTTGCAAAATAACCTGCAGAAATGGAGAAAAGCACATTACAGCTGGGAGCAACAAACATGTTGGAGGGACAGAGAGAAGCAGCAGCATATGCATAGAGTTGTCTTTCCCTAGAATTTCCCAAAAGCAGCTTGGGGAAGGCCCACTGTGGGGAGAAGAAGCTGGCGCACACTGATGAGGAATGCTTGAGTGGAATAAAGTTATGTTAATCATAAGGCTGTAAAATATGTACCACGCAGCTGGAGGCAGAAATCAGAGCACTGCTCTACTGAGCTGAGTGCAAACCAAAGAAATCCAGATACAAGACTGAAAATTTCTTGAGAATTTCACATTGTGTGATCATACAAAGAAGATTTGCTAAAACTGATAGTCTTAAGATTTGTCATTTAATTAAATCACCCCAATACTATCTTAGTGCTCTAAATATTTCAGACTTTTTTAAAAGATAATTTTGTGGAAATATAAAGGGTTTTTTTTTTTGTTGCTGTTTTGCAGAATCATACTAGAGCCAGGATTATGATCCAAACACCATCACATACTCAGACAAAAAATATGAACAAAAATTCTGTACATGAGAATATATTAATTTTAAAAAAACTTTCAAAAAGGTAATAGAAAAAATACTGGAAGCTATCCTACAGCACCAGAAATACACTTGCACCAATACTTCCTAAGGACTGCATACTGTAACTGCCAACTACAACCATAAACATATGACCTCATTCATAAAAGTATGATCTCAAAGCTCATGCCCTGTATCGACTTTCTTTAAATTAGCTGACATTAAGGACAGATTCTAGATCTGAGGAAGCCAACCAAGCTTTGAAGTGTTTGCAATGCTGCACTAGAAGCTGTTTTGATTTTTACCACCAGGCTGCTAGATAAATTCTAATCTCACCATCAATTATGAAAGATTCTTATGACAACCTTGATTTTACAAAATTAGGTTATCTTCCAGCCTGTGGACATTTTCCTGTTGCATTCTGGGTTAATCCACGTGTAGAGCTCACTTCTGTCAGAATGACAAAAAACAATTGATTTTGTTTCATGGTGTATTCTTATCAATGCTCTCTGCTGCTCTTAGCCAGTCTTTGACTGATAGGGTGTTAGAGGAAAGGTCCATTAATTGATTTGTAAATA